CCTTGCGTTGGGAAGGCAGGCGCAGTGTTACTGAGCTAAATCCCCAGCCCCAGTTATTATGTTTTTATTGTTGAGCTTAAAAGTTCTTTGCATATGCTAGATCCTCATCAGATATAGGAATAGCAACCCTATAATCACAGCACTCTGGGAGGCTGAGGCAGGAGGATTACAAGTTTGAGCTCAGCATGGGGAATTTAATGATACAGTGTCTCAAAACGTCAAAATGAAAAATTTAAAAAGGGGACGTAGCTCAGTGCAAAGGTCTTGGGTCCAAGCTGTAGTAATTTTTAAAAATGGTAGCGAAGGATTTTTTGGTTTTGTTATTTATTTGTTTATTTATTTATTTATTTTTTTTTGGTACCAGGGATTGAACTCAGGTTCTTTTTGTTTTGTTTTGTTTTTTGTTTTTGGTACCAGGGATCAAACTCTGGTCTTTGTGCTTGCGTAGCAGGCGGCAAAACCACTGAGCTAAATCCCTGGTCCCGGTTTTGTTTTTTAGTAAAGTTTTATTAAAGGTAGGAAAAGAAATAGGTACTGGAGAGCAAGATTGGGCCAAGGAAAAGAAAAGAAGTACAAAAAAAAAACCAAATTAAAAAAAAAAGAAAAGAAGTACACCCTATGGTGTGAGGGCTGGCCACCAAAGAAGAGAGAACACAGTGACTCTTGTTTTTGGATTTTTGAGACAGGGTCTCGCTATGTGCTACAGGCTGGGCTTGAACTCACTATGTAATCCAGGCCAGCCTCAAACTAGTGGCAATCCTCCTGCTTCAGCCTCCCTAGTACTGGGATTACAGGAGGGTGCTACCATGCCCAACTCAATCCCCAGTATTGAAAAAAACAAACAAACCCTGTACAGATGCAATAAAATAATTCAGATGACCATTAGATCAGGACACAAATAATAATACTATTATAATCATATCTATCATTTTTTTTCTTGGCACCAGGGATTGAACTCAGGACCTTGCACTTGTGAGGTGGGCACGGTGCCCCTGAGCTAAATCCCGGCCCTGATCATATCTATCATTTATTGAGCCATTTCCTTGTGCATGTGCTGTGCGGTTTCAGTTTGCCACCCACACCAACTCTTTTTGCCCTTGTCATAATCGTAGGAAGTCTTCACTTTATTCTCTCCAAAAGACTCTAAGGATCAGAGAAGTTAAGTAACCTGCTCAAGGTCACACAGTAATTCTGTCTTTTATATTTGAGGTTTTAAAATAGTATCAACCCAGATGGTTTCTTTTTGTTTGTTTTTGGTATCGGGGATCGAACTTGGGTCCTTGAGCTTGCACAGCAGGCGGCGAAACCACTGAGTTAAATCCCCGGCCCAACAGTTTCTTTTTTTTTCTTTCTTTTCTGTCTTTTTTTTTGGAGGGAAGGAATGAGTACAGCTGTAACAGTAGAGCTGAGGACAAAGCCCTGCCTTGCTCTCTCTCTGCTTGCTCCTGGGATAGGGGCCGGCATGATGGGAGGAATGTGCCATCCTACCGTGTCCCCAAGGCCCCTCCAACGCCACTGGCAGAGTCCAGAGCTACTGTGGATGCTGGAGTTGATATCCTTGCTCCCAGTCCCTCTCTGGGCCTCAGTGTCCTGGAGTGTGAGGCAGAAATGCTGCTCTTTTTCCAGGCTGCAATGAGGTTGGAGGAGCCGCCAAATCCGCTGGGAATTCCAGACCCGGTGAAGTCATTCCCTGGAGGAACGGCTCCTCTATATACTGATAGGACAGCTGGGACTGGCGGGACAGTGGGGGAAACTGAGTCACCGGCAGCCCTGGTGACGAGGGCGGAGCTGGACTGAGGCCTGTGCTTCAGCTACCTGCAGATGGGGGATCTGTGTACTGGGCTTCCCTTGGCCTCCAGCTCCCAGGCTGCTGGGCGGCCGCGGGTTTGGGGAACAGGAGCTCCTGGCGCAGTGCTCCGGGCAAAGTCCGGTTCCACCCTCCGAGGGACCCAGCGGTCTCTTCCCACCTACTCGGCTGGTTTCCCTGCAAGTTCTGGGGCCGTCACTTCCCCTCTGGGGGCCTCCCCGGGGTTCCCCTGGAAGCCAAATGATTATTACAAAAGCCAATTCAACCCGTCTGGGTGTTGAAAGGCGCTTTTAATCTGTTGAGCGAAAAAGCAATAAAGTCCCGTGGGGGGGGGGGGGATGCTTTGAAGTCACCGAACAGAGCAGGTCCCTTTCTCGAAGGATGTGGTAGTTTGGGGCCTCTATTTAAGATAGTGGTGGTCATAATAATAATGACAAGTAATACGAATGACAAGAGGATTAGATGCTAGCCTGGAGGCAAGCGGATCTCCTCGAAGTGTGACAGCCACCGGGCAAGCAAGCGCCCAAGGAAGGCCCTGAGACAACGGACGGCAGCCTTCTCCATCAGAGAGGGGATGAAGGGGAAACTGAGGCCCAGAGTCCCCCTCTCCCCACCGCATCGCACCCAGCCGGCCCCTCCCCGAGTGTGTGTGGGGTGGTGCCCACTGTGCCCAACGAGCAGCCAGCGGGCCCGGGTCACGCTGTTCTCACCATTTGTCCCCTCCTCTCCTTCCCCCTCCCCCTGCCGGACCTCTCCCACGACCGGGGAGGAAGTAGGAGAAAAGACAGGGGAAAAAAATAATAATAAAGTTAAACTGAGCCAACGCCTCCCCACTGCCCACCTCCGCCCCTTCCAAGCCACGCAGATCCGTGCGGCAGCCGGACGCAGGACTCAGGAGTCTGGGGGCCCCCTGTCCCGCCCAGTGACCCACAGCTGGGTGGGGGAACTTGGGAAAGCCGGGAAAACAACCTCCCTCCTCCTCCTCCCCGCCCCTCGCCAACCCCTTCCCCGCGCTACGCCCCTGGCAGCCGCGGGTGGAGGCGACCGCTTTATATAATCGCAGGAGGGCAGGTCGCCTGTCGCCTTCAGGGACCCTGGCGCTTTGTCACCTTCCAGGTTCTGGCAAAGCCCGGGGTCCCTTGCAAAGGCTGGGCAAACTGAGGCCAGAGAGGCGCAGGGGCTTGGCCCAGGGTGTGTGCATGTGGGGGCAGAGGGTACTTACGCGCTCATCCCCCTACCCAGCCTCCCACCCGGCCACCCAGCCACCCAGCCGCCCACCCGACCGCCAGGTCAGAGCACCCCACGCCTGCATCGCCAGTGCGCAAGGCGCTCCCCGCCCCCGCTGCCATCGCGCCACGCCCCGGGCTTCGGGGGCAAAGCCCGAGTCCCCCTGCACCCCGCCCTGCCGCGCCGAAGCTGGGGGCCTGTTTATCTGGAGCCCCCACCCCCTGCACCCGGGGGGCCTCTCCCCCCGCGCCCCGGGGAGCTCTGGGGCCAGATAAGCCGGCCGCCTGGCACTGGGCCGCGCGCGGGGCGGAGAGGTCAGGGAGGGGGGCGCGCGCCAGGGCTGGCTGGACCCCCCCCCAACACCCCACAACTTGACACAAAACCTAATAACAGCCCGGGCTCCCCGGCGCAGCGGGGCGAAACCCCACGGGAGGGCAGGGACGTGGCAAGAGCGGACCTGCAGAGCCTGTTCTGGCCTCTGAGGCCCGGGCGCGGGGTGGGGGGGGGAACGGGCTGGGCGTGGGGGGGGGCGGCGGCGGCTGCGGCACCTTTAAGACAAGGGAGGACCCCTCTTGCCCTCGGAGAAACCAGGAAGGGAGTCGCGAGCATCATACGGGGCTTTGCTGTACTGTACGGTGACTGTAGGGGCAGTGACGCCGCCGCCGCCGGAGCGAGGAGCGCCGCGGGCCGAGCGCGAGCCCTAGGAGCGTGAGCGCCAAGGACCCCGCCGGCCGAGGGCGCCCCGTCCCCGACTCCGGGCCCGGCCCCGCGCCCCGGCCCGGCCCGGCTCGAGCCCCGGCCCCGCGAGGTGAGTCCACGGCGCCCGATGGCGTGGGTGCAGGGCGGGGACTGCGGGGAGGGGGCGCGCGGGCGCCCACCCTCGCCTGGACCTAGACTGGGGAACCTTCCTGCCCTCAAGTTTCCAACCCGGGGGTCCGCCAAGCATCTGCTCGGAAGCGCCCTAGATTAGGGAGCGCGGGGACCGGGAAGGAGATTGGGGGCGAAGTGCATGGTTTGTGCGCCAGCTGCCCCCCCAATCCCACCCGGTGCCTGGCTTTCGGGGCTCCCAGGCGCACAGGGAGCGGGGGAGGGGAAGCGGGGCTGCATTGAGGGTGTGGGGGGAAACCGGCGTGGGGAGATAGGGGGGCGCGTCGCGTGCTAACTTTGCTGCCGGGTCCGGCAGGGGGGCGCTTTCGCCTCCCCCCTCCTCGGCGGGGGGCCTATTCGGTGTTGCGTGCATACGTTGGAGTTGGCCAGGATGAAGCTCCATGGGGGAGGGGGGGGAGGGGGCTGAAAAAACAGGGAGGGGGGCTTTGCAAAGGAGGGGGAAGGGGTGGGGTATTCGGGAGGGTGGGCGGGGGGGCCCGCGGGGCCCTTTGGGCGTTGTAGTCTCTTGTCTGCTTGCTGCTGGCAGGTGGCAGGCGGTGTGAACTACAAGTCCCAGAATGCTCCGCGTCGGCGGCCTGCCGCGGCTCGTGGGGCGGTGCGGTGCGGAGGAGGACCGGTGAGGTGCGGAGGAGGGGCGGTGAGCGGCGGGTCAGCCGACCAATGGGTGCGGGCGACGGCTCGGCGCGGCGCTGGGGGGCGGAGCTTACTCGGGGGCGAGGCCTGCGCCGGCTCTCCTTGTCGGGGGCCGGTGGCGGTCCCGGCTTCCGGCTGATCGGCCGCGGGCCGCCCCCTCTCCGCCCCGGGCCCCTCCCGCCTGTTGTGTAATCGTCCCCAGCCCCCTCCCCTGGGGTTCCCCCCACCCAAAAACTGGGACCCCTCTCTGTGGGCGCTCCCCCGGTAGGGTGTCGGCGAAGCGGCCGCCCGGGGCAGGAGAGCCTGGGGATGCGCGGCCTGGCGCGGGCCGGCCGGGGCGCGGGGGAGGCGGCGGGCGGGCGGGCCCAGATCCGGGGTAATTTGCATTGCCCTCCCCCCAGCACGGGTGGGGATTGGCCGCCGGCGGCGGGGGGTGGCGCGGGGCCAGGCGCATTGCCGCCTCCCGGGCCTCGGAGAAGCCAGCCCAGCCGCCGCCGCCGCCGCCGCCGCTGGGGCCGGGCCCCTCGCGCTGCCCCGGGAAGGAGGTAGGAGCCCGCGCCTGTTCCGCGCGGCCGGTGCTGGGGCGGGGGGGGCGGGGGGGGGCGGCCGCGACGCGGTGGGACGGGGTGCTTCCTGCTCCCCACCGACTCGGCCCGGCGCCTCCGCCTGCGCGCGCGGCCCCAGAGCCGCCCTGATCCCCGCCCGCGCCCCCGGAGCGCGTGACCCTGTCTCCTCTGGCTGGACCCCCCCCCCTTCCCCTTGACGCCAAGCACCACGTGCGAGCCCTGCGCCCGGGCAGGAGGGGCGAGCTGCACGATCTGGTCCCCTCCCCCTCTCGCTCTCTCTTCCTCCCTCCCCCAGCCCGGGGCTGCGGACCTGGCCAGGGGCTCAGCGAGGCCCTGAAGCCCGTGCACCCCCAGGGCCAGGCCTCTGTGGCTCCCGGGAGACACTAACTCCCCCGTGCTTGGCCTTGTGGCCCACTGAGGAGCCCAGCCGCAGAACGGTGCTGTCCAGCCAAGCCCAAGGCACCCAGTTGGTGCTTACTAAGTGCTTGGCAGAATGCAACGAGGAGTTGACGGGGTGGCACAGGGAAGCGGGCCGAGCCTTCTTTCCCCCCAGCTAGGTGGCGGAAGTGAGAGAGGTGTGCGTGCCCCTTCCCCCAGCGGGCCCACCTGGCTCACCCATGGGTGGCTGGCCCGCCACCCCCCCCTCCCCTCCCTGCCAGCTGCCTCCCGGAGCTGCCGGAGAGGGCGTCCGGGATTCCATATCAGCCCCCCCACCCCGGGCCAGGGCCAGGGCCAGGGCCAGGGCGTAACCCTGAATGTGCCGCTCCCACACTGGGGGGGCCTCCCTTTCACCGGCCTGATCACTTCCTATTGGTAGAACTGGCCTAGGAGAGGTTCCCTAGGCCCTGCCTGGGTGGAGGGCTTTAGGCCAAGGCTGTGTTCCCTCCGGGCCAACCCCCATGGGGCCCTGGCTGGGCCTGGCACCTCTCAGCTGGGCTCGGGGCTCTGTTTACGGCCTACCATCTCTGTGGAGACAGAGCCTGGGGGAGGCGGGGGCCGAAGCCACCGGAGGCTGGAGAAGCTAAGCCTCACACCCGAAAGAGGACCCAACGAGGACACTGAAATTTTAATTCGTGGGTCACTTTGGGGGGGTATTTGTTAATTCAGTTCTGATTGGCTGCGTGGCGACCAGTCAGCAACCTGGCCTGGGCTGGGAGCCACCAACTCTCAGCCTGGGGAGGAAGAGCAGGGACTGCAGGGCTCTGTGGGGTAGACTGAGGCAGAGCCCAGCCTGGGCGGTGGGGAAGGTCTCTGGGACAGTAGCAAGACCTCGGCGTGTTTGGGTTTGTTCTGTTGTTTCTTTGAGGCCATCTGATCTGGAGCTAGGTCCACCTGGTGGTGGTTCTTGTTGCCCTATGAGGAAACTGAGGCTGGAGGGGAGTGCCCCTCCTTCCCCCCTGTGACCTGGGAAGGTTGGAGCTTTAGAGCAACCTCTGGGTGTTGGCTGTTGCGGGCAGGGGAGACCGCGGCATGGGGGAGCAGAGAGCAGCCCAAGGTCACATCTGCAGCTAGGTCTGACTCTTCTCAAGGAACCTTTCTAAAGTCCCTGGTGGTATGGCCCGGGGCACCTGCCCACCTGTGTCCTCCAGCACCTGTCAGGAAGATGTGTGGACCAAGAATTGCTCGGGTTCTACCTGAAGATGATATTGTGCTCAGAGAGGGCCAGCAAGACTCCCAAGGTCACCCAGCATGAGACCCACTGCTCCTGCCGCTCAGCCTCAAGGCAGGCGCTCCGGGGTGTGGGCTGTGCCAGTGGCAGCGAGACCCTTTCCCACTCCTGCCTAGCCATAATCCCGCCAACTGGTACCCGGCCAACTGGGCCTCTGAGGCTGACAGGGCTGGGGGTTTTATAGCTTGTTATACCCAAGGGACCCGGGTTAGTTCTCAAGACTCAGGGACAGCCCTTCTTCTTTTTTAAGGGGGGCCACTGGGGATCGAACTTGGGTCCTTGTGCTTGTGAGGCAGGCGGCGGAACCACTGAGCTGAATCCGAAGCCCAGGGACGGCCCTTCTGAAGCAGCCCTGGTCCCATGTGGGGACCACTGGGGCTTCCATGCTGTGACCTCGGATGAGCTCCCTGAGCCCAGCACCCTCTGCATGATGCTCCTGCCATGGAGTCTGAAGACCCCAGCTGTCACCCCTCCCTTCCCTGCTGGAGGGAGCACCTGGGCCAGTGCTAGTCACCTGGGATCTGCATGGGTGTGGGGCATGGGTCACTACCACTTGAGACACCCTCAGAGCCCCCACCAAGTCACCTTGTCCCTGATACATCCTGAACTGCCCTATGGCAACCTTGGGTGGCAGAGACCAGTGGAACAGGCTGGGCTGGGCCCTGCTCCACCTGGGACCCATCCAGGGCCGCCACGTTCCATCTGCCGGCCTCGGCTTTTCCTTCAGTGCAATGGGACCACCACTGGGGATGTTGTGAAGATACTGTCTCCAGCCCACTTTGGGGCTTTGCTGTATGAGACCCTGGGAACGGCTGTTGAGCCTCAAGGGAGCCCCCCCATCCCTGTGCTGAGCACTCTTGAGTGCCTGAGCGTCCCCTGGACCCATCTTGCCCCTGAGTGGCCTTCCCTCTTGGGCCATCTTGGGTCCCCTGACCTCAGGGTGGGGGAATTTCATGGCCTGCTGCTACCTGGGGGCTGTGTGCTGGGGGAGGGGACAGGAGATCTGGGAGGACTAGTCAGGCTGGCCTAGTCAGTTAGGTGGCCTGTGTTCAGATTCCAGCTCTGCTGTGTGACCTGGGGGAGTTGCCGCCCTTCTCTGAGCCTGCCTCCCAGAGCTGGCAGGGTGGGCATGGACTGTGGTTCGCTGTCCACATAACCAGGACCAGGCCCAGCACCCTGTGGAAAATCTGGCCCTGGCAAGGAGGTAGCCCAGAGGGCCAGCCCCTCCATCTGTCCCCTCAGCAGGCTGTGGTCGGTCAGTTGGTGGAAGTGTCCCCACCCACGCCTTTCTGGTCTAACTGGAAAACAAGGCCGGGTCCCCACTAGGGTGTGTGTAATACAGATCTAGCCGGATTCTACACATCACGAGAGCCCCCTGAGAGCCCTTTTATCCTGGGCTTCCAGGCTGAGCCTTCCACCAGCCATGCAGGGCGTGGGGCCACTGCAGGTGGCTCCAGGTGACAAACAGGCCTGTTGAGGTTGTGGTCTCTTGTGGGTACTTTGGATAGCAGGTGGGATGGCAGTGATGAGATTCTGCAGCGCTGGGCCTTGCTTACCCTTGGTGACAGGAAGCTCATTCCCTCCACCCTGTTCAGGGATGGCCGAAGCTTCCCCTTGGAACCAGGCCTCCGGTTAGCTCTGGGCTTCCTGACCCATGATGGCACTAGGAGCGTGGGAACAGGGTGGGCCTCAGCCCCACCCTGGAGTCAGGGGTCAGTGGGATCCCCAGGACCTCTTCGTCTCTGCTCCCGAGAACACACACACTTCCCACTGGGCTGGCCGCCTTCCTGCTTCTGGCCCTTTAAGGCCTGGGCAGGAAGCCCCTCCCCACTTAGGGCAATAAATGGACATGTAAAATGGCCGAGGGCCCTGTGGGCCTTGTTTGCTTCGGGTCTGGCCTGAGGGAAGCTGGCTGACTGGCAGGGCAGGAGGGCAGGGGGTGGACTGGCTGGCAGCTGACAGCCACCTGGGCCCTTGGTGATCCCCGGCACTGGGTCAGGGCGGAGTGACTTTGGGGACTAGCCTTACTACATGTGTGACCTTGGGCTGGCCACCCACCCTCTCGGGGCCTGGCTTTACTCTGCTTTCCTCCTTGGTCCGTGCTGCCCATTTGCCTGGCACATAGTAGGCGGAAGTGGGCTGGATTCCTGGAATAACATTTAGCAACCAGGCCACATAAGATTGTCCCTCCTCATCCACAGTGAGTGGCCGGTGGCCAGGCTGGGTGAGCCTACTAGGGTCCGGCTCTCACACATAGTAGGTCCTCAGGGAGGACTCTGCTCGCTGGCCCTATAAAGGTCACTTTTCTTTCCACTGGTAGGCTCCCAAGTAAACGAAGGCTCAGAGAGGTTTTCCCTGTAGCTTGGTCACAGCACGAGGAGGAGCTGGGCTTGAACCCGGGTAGCCCTGTGGCATCCAGGAGCTGTGTTAGTTCCCTTTTCCCTGCTCCTCTCACTGCCCTCCTCTCCCTGGCAGGGAGAGGGCAGGTACTCAGGAGGGTGGGGGCCCAACCCCTTATTAAGTAATCCCCTGCCCCCAGAAGTGCCCTGCAGGAAGTCTGCAGGTGGCAATTACCTGCCCAGCCCCCTCGCTGGAGTCCCTCGTCCTTCCTGGGTCCCAGCCCTCATCCTACGTGGGATCTTGGGGAGATTCCCCCCTTTCCTGCTCCCCTCGACTTCGCACAGTCCTGGGATCCTTCCCGAGGAGACCTGCTGCTCCCCGACTTCACTTCCAGCTCCTGGCGTCCCCCAGGAGCTGGAAGGGGGCAGCATCTCTGGTTGAAGGCCCAAGCCCTGACCTGGCCACCTGTGTACTGTATGATCTCAGCTGTGTCTCAGCACCTCTCAGCCTCTCTGGGCTGTGGGGAGGATGAGGCCAAGGCACCAATTTGGTTCCTAAAAGTTCCAGGGCAGGGAACGGGCTGAAGCAGAGCTTGTGCCTGCTGTTTTCAAAAGCAGTTACAGCAAGTAACTCTCAGACAGGAGTGGGACCTAGCGGGTGGTTGCTCTCCGTACCCCTACTGTGCACGGCCGGCAGCCCAAGAGGGGCCTGCTGGGGCCTGTCCCTTGTGGGGCCGCTGAGTCAGCACGCTCACCCTGGAAGTCCCGCAGAGGTGGCTTGGGGGTGGAGCTGTGGCCCCAGCTGGGTGAGGGTCTCTGCTCAGAGGTCCTGCCAGGGTAAGGCTGGGGCTTCCGAGGGAGGAAGACACAGCAACCACTGGCCATCAGGTGTCAGCCAGTGCCTCAGTGGAAGGAGCCATGAGGCTCTTCTGAGCAAAGCAGCCATGCATAGTGGGTCTGCAGCCTGTGGGGACCTGAGGGCACTCTGCACCCCCACCCCCGTCTTCCTTCCCCCACCTGGAGGCTGTGTCTTGGCCCTTGTCACAGGGAGTGGCCCCCCTAGGAGGCCCCGGATGGGGTGGTGACAGGGTGTGGCCAGCAGGTGGCTCCTGTTCCTGCAAAGAGGGTGGGCCAGGTATTGGCAGGGCCTGGTAGGAGCCACCTCTGGGGTGGGTGGGGGACCAGCACCTGGACCCCAGCCCATGAGGATCACCTTGCTGGATGTCTTTGGCCAGGATTCTAGCCCTCTCTGGACCTTGGTTTTCTCACCTGTCATATGGGGACCAGGACACTCATGGGAACTTTTCTGGCATGGCTGGCCTCTTCCCAGGCCTGCCCGTTGGGCCAGGAGGGTGATGTTTAGGGGAACAGGGGTCCCAGAGAGGACCTGTGGCCCCACCTGCAGCAGGCCGTCTTGGCCCTTGAAAGAAGGCTGGTGCAGCCCCTAGCCCTGGGTGCGGCACTGGTGGGAAGCCAGGGTGGCTTCATCCTCATCCAGGGGTGAGTCACTTGGGCCATTTTGGGTTCCAACCCTGAGGCCCCTGAAGACACCTTCAAGCTGTTCACCAGGGAACCCTGGGTCACCTGAGGGAGGACAGCCCAGTGGGCCTGGGTGGCCATCTTGGCTCTGGTGGCCCTGGTCAGAGGTTCCCTCTGGTGTGTGAGGTGGGCCTGTCTGAGCCGAGCCCCATCTGCCCACACGTGGCCCAGGGCGCCAGGCCAGACGGCAGATGGTGACAGGGTGGGAGCCACCGAAGGAGGCTCCTCAGCAGCTTCCTGGGGCCATGGTGCGTGCAGGGTCCTCCCTACCCCAGCCCCCCTGCTCCCGGCAGCCACATCTGAGCCATCCCTCCCCACCTCGGGAGGCCGGGCAGAGGAAGGGGGGGCCCCCAGCAGCTGGTGCGGCGGGAAGGCGGGTGGGTGGAGGGCCAGAGCCCCGGCAGCGAGCAGGCTGCACAAAGGCCTCTGTGTGGGTGAAGCAGACCCTGCACCAAGGGCTGCCAGGGTGGGCAGACGCTGGACCACCGGGTGAGACCTCTGGAGGCCCGGTTTGGGCGCCATCCCTGGGGAGAGGCCTGGGCGCTTGGCCCGAGAGCCAGCCTGGCCCAGAAGAACCAGAGGAGCATGGTCGGCGTTGGGTGGCGCGGGGCTCCCTGGAGAGGGCGGACTGTTGGGGACAGGAGCCAGAGGGTTGCACAAGGGCCGGGGTGGGCGGATGAGTCATAGCTCAGGAAAGGAGGAAGGTGGAGGAGAGGAGTGGGCTGGATGGTCCCCCAGGGCCCCATACCTCCAGGAACCAGGGCCCATTTGACAGATGGGGAGACTGAGGCCAAGAGAGCACCAGGGCCTTGTTGCAGGCCGGATGGCACAGCTGGGGTGGCAGAGAGGCGGTTGGAAGGCCCTCAGCCCTGGCCCCTCCTGGGGGCCTCGCCTGGGCGTGACCTGGTTTTCCCTATTACTCACTGCCAGGCTGAGCCTGGGGGCTCAGGGACAGGAAGAGGTTTGTCAGCTGCCACTGGGCCTGTCCCAGCAGGACACACCCTCTGCACCCTTGGCCCAGGCCCAGGTCTTGGGCCTGGGTACCCAGAGTTCCACCTTGCCCCTTTTGCTGGCTCAGAGTCCCCAGAGGAAATTGGGGTCATAGGGGCCAAGTGTGGGTCAGGTGCAGCTCTGTCCTTGCCAGGTGGCTATAAGCAGGGATCCGCCAAGGTACCAAGCTGGGGGGTGTGCACAGACAGGCCTGGCTCAGTGGAGGGACCTTGTGACTCCCTGCTTGGCACATTTCTCAGGTACCTCCTGAGCACCTCAGACACCTCCAGCTATCCCTTTGACCTGGGTTCCCAGGGGCCTCCCATGGTGTGGGGGGGTGCCAGGGTCCCCACATCTCCCTCAGCAGCCAACGTGGGTTTTACCAGCACAATCTACTAGATAAAATGGATTAGGATTAAAGCTGGGTGTGGTGGCGCATGCCTGTAATCCCGGCACTCGGGAGGCTGAGGCAGGAGGATCACCTTGAGTTTAAAGCCGGCCTGGGCTACATAGCAAGACCAAAACCAAAAATGAGTAGGAAGAGGGCACTGGAGCACCCTTGTGCACAGCTAGATAAACTGAGGCTGGGGGAACAGGATGTGTGAGCAACCTTGTGGACAGCTGGGGAAACCAAGGCCAGGCATGAGATCAGGTGCTCCCTCCCCAGGGTCCTGGGCATGGGACCATCATGCTCTCAGACCTCCCCTCTCTCCCACAGGTCTCGGTGCGGAAGATGGCCGGCGGCGTGGACGGCCCCATCGGGATCCCGTTCCCCGACCACAGCAGTGATATTCTGAGTGGGCTGAACGAGCAGCGGACGCAGGGGCTGCTCTGCGACGTGGTGATCCTGGTGGAGGGCCGCGAGTTCCCCACACACCGCTCGGTGCTGGCCGCCTGCAGCCAGTACTTCAAGAAACTGTTCACGTCGGGCGCCGTGGTGGACCAGCAGAACGTGTACGAGATCGACTTCGTGAGCGCCGAAGCACTCACCGCACTCATGGACTTCGCCTATACCGCCACGCTTACGGTGAGCACGGCTAATGTGGGCGACATCCTCAGTGCCGCTCGGCTGCTTGAGATCCCGGCCGTGAGTCACGTGTGCGCCGACCTCCTGGACCGGCAGATCCTGGCGGCCGATGCAGGTGGCGACTCGGGCCAGCTCGACCTTGTGGACCAGGCGGACCAGCGCAACCTGCTGCGCGCCAAGGAGTACCTGGAGTTCTTCCAGAGCAACCCCATGAATAGCCTGCCCCCCACCGCCGCCGCCAACTTCCCCTGGTCCGCCTTTGGGGCATCCGATGACGACCTAGATGCCACCAAAGAGGCCGTGGCGGCTGCTGTGGCCGCTGTGGCTGCGGGCGACTGCAACGGCTTGGACTTCTACGGGCCAGGCCCCCCAGCGGAGCGAGCCCCTGTGGGCGATGGAGACGAAGGAGACAGCAACCCAGGTCTGTGGCCGGAGCAGGATGAGGATGCCCCGACCACTGCTGGCGGTCTCTTCCAGCCACCCGTGGCCCCGCCGGCCGCCACGCAGAATGGCCACTATGGCCGTGCGGGCGAAGAGGAAGCGGCCTCGCTGTCAGAGGCAGCACCCGAGCCCGGGGACTCACCAGGCTTCCTGTCGGGCGCGGCGGAGGGTGAGGATGGGGATGCGGGCGACGTGGACGGACTGGCGGCCAGCACGCTGCTGCAGCAGATGATGTCGTCTGTGGGCCGGGCGGGGGCACTGGCGGGCGGGGACAGCGACGAGGAGTCTCGGGCCGACGACAAGGGCGTCATGGACTACTACCTGAAGTACTTCAGCGGCGCTCACGAGGGGGACGTGTACCCGGCGTGGTCGCAGAAGGGGGAGAAGAAGATCCGAGCCAAGGCCTTCCAGAAGTGCCCCATCTGTGAGAAGGTCATCCAGGGTGCCGGCAAGCTGCCGCGCCACATCCGCACGCACACAGGAGAGAAGCCGTACGAGTGCAACATCTGCAAGGTCCGCTTCACCAGGTAAGCCTTGAAATCCTGCTTCGGGCCCCAGACCATTCCTGTCCTCAAGAGTAGGCAGCCCCGGCAGGGACAGCCCAGTGACAGCTCAGACGCGGAGGGAATGACCACATCAGAAACAGCGTGGCTGGGGCCCAGGGATTTAGCTCAGTGGTGCATGCCTGCCTCAAGCGCAAGGTCCTGAGTTTGACCCTGGTACTGAAAAAAAAAAAACCAGCGTGGCCAGGATGGTGGTGCATGCCTGTCATCCTGCCACTGTGGGAGGTCTAGGCACAAGGGTAGGGTGTTCCTCAGTGCAAGGTCCTGGGTTCAATCTCCAGTACAGGAAAAATTCCCACAGTATCAGGTGTGGAGACCCTGCCAGAGGTGGAGTGCAGAGTCACCCCTCTGTGTTCAGGTAGTTGTCTCTGTGGTTTGTTTTTGTTTTGTTTTTTTGGTACTGTGGATTGAATGCAGGACCTTGTGCTTCCCAGGCAGCTGCAGTGCCACTGAGCTACGTCCCCGGCCCATAGTTCTCTATGTTGAAGGAGAAATTTTCAGTTTTCTTTGCTATGGGAGAGGGAGAAACCCTGTTACGGAGAACTCTGGTTGGTGAGGGGTCATTGGCTTCATTTGGCCAGAATTTATTTATTACTTATTTATTTGGTTCTTAGCTATTTAGTTTCGGTACTGGGGATTGAACTCAGGACCTTGCACTTGTGAGGCAGGTGCGACGCCACTGAGCTGAATTCCCGGCCCCTTAGCCCTTTATTTTTTTATTTTGAGGCAGGGTCTCACTAACTCAATAAGAGTTGCCCAGGCTAGGCTTGAACTGTGATCCTCCTGCCTCAGCCTCCCAAAGTGCTGAGGCGACAGGTGTGTGACATCACCCTGTCCAGTTTGAGCAGCATTTCTTTCTTTTTCTTTTCTTTTCTTTTTTTTTTTTTTGGTATCCGGGATCAAACTCAGGACCTTGTACTTGCAAGGCAGGCACAGGTGCCACTGAGCTAAATCCCCAGCCCATCACCAGCATTTCTTTTTAACCAGCATTTCTTAAGTACCTGCTGTGTTCCAAGCACTAGGGACACAACAGTGGATAGACAGGCCCAAGTCCCTGGGGAGCCACCAAGGAAGGGAGCACTGGTGGAGACATTTGAGTTGAGCTCCAAAGGAGCTGTGGGAAAAGTGTTCTGGGGTGGAAGCAGCCTATGCAAAGGCCCTGAGGCAGGTTCAGCTTGGGGTGCTGGAGCCAGTGGAGGTGGAAGGCCTGGGCAGGATCCGTGGGGCTTGGTCCCTGAGCTGGAAGAGTTCAAGGTCAGGCTAGCAGTTTGCAATCGGGTCTTAGGAGTCCAGAGGTGGCTGGCTGGGCCATGTGGACTGAGGGCGGGCCAGCTCCATGGGGGCGGGGGGCTGGCGGCAGGGACCTGGCCAGGCTGGGTGACTCAGCGTCACCCCCTGCCCCCAGCCTGGCTGCCCTGGGGTTCCCCCAGCCACGCCTCTCAGGGCTGAAGAAAGAGGCCATTGTCCCAGCTTCCTGGCCCCACCCCACAGGGACAGGAACCAGGGCCTGACCCCCTCCTCAGCAGCTGGGTGAGGAAGGCGTGGCCAGGATCTGGCACCCAGGGGTGCCAGGTGGGGGCAAAGGGCAGAGCTGAGCAGTGGGCGGTCTGCCTTGTGAGATTACGGTGCTGGAGGTCTTGGCCTCCTCCTCCAGGCAGGAGTCCCCAGGAGGGGACATTTTGGTATGGGGTCCTGTGCAGTGACCTTGCCCAGCCTGCCCTCCACCTGCTGCTAGGACTGTGGCCTCTGGGACTACAACCCAGCCTGGTTTCAGTGTGACTTGGCCTGAATTTGGCCACACCTACCCAGTCCCAACCTGGGGCCTATCCTGCCTGTCAGTTGGGGGAACTGAGGCATGGGACACTCAGTGGGCTGTTTCTCCTCAGGCCCCCTCTTGCTTCCTTGGAGCCCCTGCCCTGCCCCCTGGAGGCCCAGGAGCCCAGGGGCCCCTCTGAGTCACACCAGGCAGAGCGTTGAGTAAGCAGGGCCTGTGGCGGCCGGGGCTATAATTACCCGGCCAGGGCTCGGGGTGATGAAACGCACAACCTCCACCCCCACCCTGCCCCTGTGTGGCCCCTGGCCTGCTGTGCAGCCCTGGTCAGGTCATTTCCCCTGTCTGAGCCACCTGGCCTCTGCTGGGATACTGCTGTGCAGTGAGGGGAAGTGTAGTCTGTGCTGGGCCATCTGGCCCTGGCCTGGGCAGAGCATCTCAGGGATCCTTCCAGAGGGCTTTGTAGAAGTTCAGGGAAGCAGCCAGGTGCCCTGGAGCTGTTCAGCCAGGAGTTTGTTCCAATCCAAGTTCTTTTGGCACAGGCAGGGCCACAAAACTGTGGAGAGGGCAGAAGTCAGGTTGCAGAGAGCTGCAAAGAGCTGTAGAAGGCTTAGAGGCCGTAGGGACATCAGTGCCAGAAGGAGGGACCTGGGGCTGGAGGAGCCCAGAGCAAGAGCAGCGTCTGAGGGCTGGAAAAACCAGAGGGCCAGTGAGACCTTGAGGGATGAATAGGAGTTTGTCAGCATTTGCAGTAAAGAAGCTGTGTCTGCTAGATGTGAGCAGGAAGAATCATGGAGCAGTTCTGATGCAAGGGACCAAGGTCAGCAGCATGGAGCAGGCTAGGTTCTAGGCAGGGGTCCTGAGACCCGGGTCATTGCTCCTGTGCTGTGGGGTCTAGGTCAGCCCATCAGTCCAGACCAGCACTGTGCAATAGAAGTTTCACAGGAGCTGGCTCCTTCATTTAAAATTGTCTGGCAGCCACATGAAAGGGAAAAAAGAGAGAACAGGTGAAAGTAGCTTTAGTCATATTTTACAAAGCTTGATAGGTCCGTTTCATTGATCAGTATGCAAAAATTTGGGGGGGCCGTTGAGACAGGGTCTCACTGTATAGTTCAGGCCGGCCTTGAACTCCCTGTGTAGCCCAGGCTGGCCTTAACTCAGTGATCCTCCTGCCTTAGCCTCCCAAGTGCTGGGATCACAGGTGTGCGCCACCACACCTGGGTAAAACTCTTTTAAAGTCTAGGGTGCCTTTAATAATCCGGGCCGGGGATTTAGCTCAGTGGTTTTGCTGCCTGCTGCGCAAGCACAAGGACCTGAGTTCGATCCCCGGTACCCCCCCCCCCAAAAAAAATCCAGCACCTCTCAGTTTGGAGCAGCCAAACATCAAGGGCTTGGGAGCCATGTGTGGCCAGCGGCCACCACAGAGGACAGATAGTAACCTGGGCCCTAGTCCCCCCAGGGCTGATATGGTGACCAGGTTTGTGGGGTAAAGGCCTCTGGTTGAGCTGGATCCGTGCTGTTCCCTGTGGGGCAGGATGGCAGGGAGTGTCAGATGGCCGTGGGGCATGGGGCCATGGCGGTGACATCGGGCTTCAGATTTGACAGTGAGGATCGGGAGGACCTGTGTCTTGGGGACAGCACGTCCAAAGGCCCTGGGGCAGGCTGTGTTCATTCTGTTGGGGCCACAGCCAGGGAGCCAGTACAGTCAGGTTGAACCTGTCAGAGGGCAGAGGAGGGTTGGCAGGGCCCTGTTGCCCTGAGGTGGGGACTCAGTGGCTGCAGTGACCAACTGTCCCAGCACTAAGTGGTGTCTTGGGTTACAGAACTCTTGAGTGCTAAAACCAGAATATTTGGTCACCCTGTCTGTGGCCGAGTAACCTCAGCAACAGGCTGTTCCAGAGGGCAGGGACTTTTGCCTGCCTTGTTTCCTGTAGTATTTCCAGCACTCGAGTCAGGGCTCAGGAACACATTCCTGTCACCACAGCAGCTCAGGAGGCTGAGGCAGGAGGATTGCACATTTGAACCCTGCCTGGCCTGTTGAAGGATTTACCAAGATCCAGTCCTGAATTAAACAGTGAGAAGGCCTGGGAATGTAGGTCAGTGGTGAGGGCTTGCGGAGGCCCTGGGTTCTATCCTCCCAACTTTTTTGTTTTTTGTTCTTGTTTGTTTGTTTTTGTCTTTTGGTACCAGGGATCGAACTCGGGACTTTGCGCTTGCCAGAACCACTGAGCTAAATCCCCAGCCCTGTTTGTTTGTTTTTGAGACAAGGACTCACTAAGTCATTCAGTTGCTCAGGCTGGCCATGAAATTTCTGTCCTCCTGCCTCAGCCTCCTCTGTGCTGGGATTATAGATGTGTACCTCCACGCCTGGCTCTGCAAAAATAATAAATAGTAGAAGAGAAAGGGCTGGGATGTAGCTCAGTGCTAGTTTATTACAGCAAACCCCGCCCCCATGGCCGAGGCTCTTTGTCCTCTCCTGAGCATCAAGAAGAGAATGGTTCAGAGAGGTTGTGTCTGCTCAGTGCCCCCACAGAGCCCCCTGCAGCCCTCAGAACAGGGGCTTCCCCGGTGTCCCAGGCTGGGTGCTGACCGCCGGTCCTGCCATCCCCATCCCCACAGGCAGGACAAGCTGAAGGTGCACATGCGGAAGCACACAGGTGAGAAGCCCTACCTGTGCCAGCAGTGCGGTGCCGCCTTCGCGCACAACTACGACCTGAAGAACCACATGCGCGTGCACACGGGCCTGAGGCCCTACCAGTGCGACAGCTGCTGCAAGACCTTCGTGCGCTCCGACCACCTGCACAGGCACCTGAAGAAGGACGGTTGCAACGGGGTCCCTTCGCGCCGAGGCCGCAAGCCCCGTGTCCGGGGAGGGGCTCCCGACCCCACGCTGGGGACCGGCGTGCCACCCCCAGGAGCCCCCAGCTCCGCGCCCCCTGGCTCCCCTGACACCGCCACCGCTGCCGCCACCACCACCCGGCGCAATGGCCAGGAGAAGCACTTTAAGGACCAAGAGGAGGACGAGGAGGCCACCAGCCCCGACGGCTCCTCGGGCCGGTTGAATGTAGCGGGCGCCAGCGGTGGAGATGACAGCGGAGGTGGCCCCGGGGCCACTGCCGACGGTAACTTCACAGCCGGACTCGCCTAAAAACCAAAAACAGAAACCCGAGACAGAGAGAGAGAGAGAGAGAGAGAGAGAGAACGGGAGAGCAAGAGAGAGCTAACCACCCACCACCCCCCAAAAAAACACAAAAAAAGAAACTCTATCTATATGCAGATCTCTATATCTATCTATATATATACAGATCTCTATATATGAGCGTCACGGATCTGGGATAGTGCTTTTCTCCAATCCTCCTCCTTCCTGACGCTTTTCTCCCTCTGCAGGGCCCCTCCCTCCCTGGCTCCTGTGTCCCCCTTCCCTGACCTCATCTGGATGTCGCTGACCGGGCTTCGGGGCTTGGCGGGGGGGGCTCTGTGGGGCACAAGGATTCCGAGCCTCCCCCAACCCCTAAACCTGGGTGTCCAGAGTGGGGTCTGGAGCCCCATCCCAGGTCTGGGCTGGGGTGATGGTGGACTTGGGGGGAGTGCCGGGGATTGGGGTGAGTTCTTTTCCCTTCCCCTGCTGGTTTCTATGAGTCTTTCAGACAAGACCTTAAAAATGATTTCTGTCTGCTCTGAGCGGACATTAAAATGGCCCCTGTCCCCAACCCCACCCTTCTTCCTCAGGGCACTTAGCAAGGGGGGTCTCCCCGCCGATTCCCCCGACGGCCTCCCGCCTCCACCCCGCCTGTGACCTGGCTCCTCTGCACCTCCTGGCTGCTGAGACACAAATTATTTATTTCTAGGCCTGGAGGAAGGGGCCAGGACCGGGGGGCCCAGGGGGCCCCAGGGTGGCTCTAGGGCCTTCCACCCCCTTCCGTCACGGCACTTACAACTGGTGGGACCCCAGGGCCACCCTCAGGGCGCCCCCGCCCTCCCGGCCGCCTCCTAACCCGGGCCCCCAGGCCTCCACGTTTAGAGAGTCAAAGCTTCTTCTGTCTTGCCCCCTGACCCGAGCCCCTCCCTGACTTTTTAAAGCACTTTTTAGATTTTTTTCTTTTCCTCCTTAAAAAAATTTATATATAGATATATATAGATATATATATATATAATATTTCCTAGAGGAGCAGGCAACCGTGCGGGGTGACTCTGGCCAAGATCGGAGGGGACCCAGGGTCTCAGGAAAGCAGGGACAGGAGATTGAGCAGGAGAGTCCAGATGTCCAATGTCACAAAAGCAATAAAAAAAAAAATCAAAGATTTTTACAAAATGGAAAGGAAGAAAACAAAACAAAAAATGACCGCAACCAACCACATCAGAAGTCTTGGCACTTTGTAACAGAACGGGTACTTTATCTTAATTCTTAATTTAAAACTATGTTTACAAGTTGTAACCAACTTCTATGAAAAGTTGAAAAGACAAAAAAAAAGAGAGAGAGCGAGAAAGCAAAAGAAAATTCCTAAACGTCAATTTATTTTTGTACAAAATAATAATAAAAAAACCCACCACAAAACGTAGAATCCACGTCTGTTCCCCAAGGCCAAGGGAGGGGTGGACAGGAGGCCATCGGAAGGGACCAGAGGGGCTCTCGGGGTCCCCCAAGTTGGTGCCATGTCAGCCCCACCCTCCCCTCCTGTCCCTCTTTTTGGTCTCTGCACCTGCCTGGCAGCCACCTCTTTTCATGGCACCTTCTTCCTCTTTGCCCAGCTCAGGGATGGGCCCAAGACAGGACTGGCTTCCCAACCAGCCGGACCAACCCGCCTGCCCCGTGTCCACCGTCCCTGCCCTCCAACATGGCTGTCCTCCTGTGTGGCCACCAAGGGGCCGCCATATTGGATGTGCTGCATCCCCTCCAAGTTCCTCCCCAAGGGCTGACAGGACAGGGGTCCCCTCCTCCAGGGCCTTATACTTCCCTCACCAGGCACCCTCTTTTTACTCAAAGGCACTGACTGTAACCCGGGGACTGGCACCTGCTTCCCCCCAACCTCTGGCCCCCAAAAGGCCCGAAGCACACCGGGTCACAGGCCACGGACATGGCCTGGGGTTGGGGAGATGTCGCTGCCAGATGCCAGGACACCCCACCCCAACCCTATCCTGCCAACGCAGAGCCCAGTGTGGGACCTTATAAATAGATGCTCTGCTGAACTGAGACCCCCTCTTCCTGTCGAGGCCCAGTGGGCATGGAGGGGTGTCCCTGCGTGTCCCCACTCCTGTCCCCTCCCCCAGCACCCTGTGACAAACGTCTTGCTTTTGTTTTTGAAGGGAAGTTTTTTCAGAAGGCCATTTTTGATATTGTTTCTACTGGAGAGTTTCTGTTTCTTTCCTTCCCCTTCTTCCCAACCCATCAGCTCCCCCAGATGTCTCAGGATTCCCTTCTAGGGCCCACAGAACGGCCAGGGCCATGGCTGGGTGGTGCCAGCCGTGACTGTACCCATGTCACCAGGCGAGCTGTTTCGCAGAAGTAACTGTGGAGGGTGAGCAGAGAACCCCAGTAACCCAGCCAGGGAGCTCGGCCCCGTCTCTCAGAGAGGTCCTCCAAGGGGTGAGTTCTCTTTCCCCTACACACCCTCTTCGCAATAAAACCAACTCGCAAATCATAGATGTCATTTTGGCCAGTGGAGGCCACCAGATTTGTGGGACAGTCCATGGGGACTCTGGTAGGAAAGGGGGCCGTGGCCTGTCAGCAACACTTTAACACAAACCTCGGGAATTGCACTAAACCCCCAGCCCCAGCTCCACACTAGCTTCCAGCTCCCCTGCCTGTCCACTCTGCCTTAACCGCCAGCCAGTCCTGGGGGCCGCAGTGTCTGCATGGGCCCAGAGCCGGGACCCCCCAACCCTCCAGCCCAGCCCCAGCCCCAACTCCTTGCAATCACATACTGTATATAGACGTGGATCGATTTTATTTTTATTCTTTAAATTAAGGTCGTGATAAAGTGTTGCCAAAGATACTGCTGAATTTTTCGAGTTTCAGGAAAAGATTGAGGAGGGGTCGGGTTTATTTGTCTGGGAGGATGCTGCAGAAAGGGTTTTTGGGTTTTTTGTTTTGTTTCGTTTGGTTGTTTGGGTTTTTTTGTTTTGTGTTGTTTTTTTTTTTTTTAACTGCCTGGTACAAAACAAAAAAAAGAAAAAAAGAAAAAGTGAAATTGTTATTTCCATCCTCATGGTGATGTTGCTTGGATGACTTTGTGTGCGAGTGTGTGTGACAGCGCAAGAGGTCCAGGCTGGGGCGCTCCAGGCAGGGGTCCCCGGAGTTGGTGGAGGGAGCGTGGCCAGAGACCCTGGCCTGGTGCCCCCCAGCCTGCGGGGACCCCTGAGAGAAAGGAACATCCTCCTCCAGATGCCGCTCCTTGCCTCCCCCACCCTGCCTTCTGAGATTAAGGGGGGAAAAAAGGAAAAACATAAAAATGAAAAAAAAATTTAAACCAGTGAATGTAAAATGCCAGACCAGGCCCAGCCGGGCACAGGTGGGGTCCTGCGCCCTGCCAGGCTGCGGTGGGTGATACCAAAGTCGGCTCAGCCACGTGGCCATCGAGTTTTGTCACCACAGTACCTGGTCGTCCCTTTGCTTCCTTCTGGGGGCTCCTCCTGTGGTAAAGGGGGGTCCTCTGCTCTTTCCTGGAGGCAGGTGGATGGGCAGGGAGACTCTTAGGCCCCAGGGGCTATGGCAGGCATAGTAGCCACATGGGGTTGAGGCAGGGGTCACCCCTACCTCCAGGATGGACCCAGTCCAGGCAGCCGAAATTACTGGAGGTGAGAAAGACTGAAAGGAAAAAAAAAAAAAAGTAAAAAAAAAAAAAAAAGAATGAAAAAAAAAAAAAAAAAAAAGAAAAAGTCCTATTTTTTGACAAAAAAAGATAATTATATTTACAGTTTTATTTTAAAAAGTTATTTAAGCTGAGGAAACGGCCTTCCCAGAGGTGGGGTGGGGGGCTGGTGCAGGACGGGTCAGGGGCCTGGGGGCTCAGCCACAGGCCACAATCTCAGAGTACAGATGGCTTGCACTAAATGCAGAGATTTACATTGGGGGCCTGGGGGGCAGCAGGGCCAGGAGGCAAGGGGCTGGGGCTGCCCAGAGCTTTGTGTGGGAATCCCAATGCCCAGGTGCCCCTGTCCCGACCAGGCCCAGACATGAGGTGCCTTGGACTGTGGGGGCCGGGCCGGGCCTGGTGAGTGGGGCGCGGGGCGGTACCCAGGGGTACACAGCACAGCACAGAGCAGACATTCCATAGACTGTATTTGAGAGTCTTTATAATAAAGTGTGGGAGATTTAAAAAATTCAATTGATAAAAATGCACTTTTTGGGGGTGGGGGGAGATGCTTTAAAAGTAATAAAAAACAGACAAAGAAAAAACATTTTTCTTGTACATAAAAAAAAAAAAGAAAAAAACCACTAAACGCAGCCTGTTAAGACCGCTGCTGCCTCGTTGCTTGATTTTGATGTTTTTGTGTTTTCTTGGGGGTCTGGGGGTAGCAGGGAGGGAGGGTCTGTGCGGCTGATTCTAGATCCTTGTCTGAGGCTCTCCCAGCCCTGTGTGTGGGGACCTGGCTGGTCTGAGCTTGGATTTCCAGACCCCCTGACTGGCCTTTCCCACCTGGGCCATGGACAGAGTGGCCAGTGACGGATGTGGCTGGGATACCGGGTAGCCTGCAAGATGGGAGGCCTCACCTGGGAAGGTGACCCATAGCCTTGGGCGGACATGGGCAGTGGGACCTGGAAGGTGTGGGAGACTCAGCAGGAGGGCGCAGGCTAGCAGGGACATCCTGCTGGGTGGGGTCCTTGGGCACCTCCAGCTTGGCCTTGCAGGCTACCAGATACAGAGCCGGAAGCCTTAGCTGGCTGGGGATCACTTCCTGTCCCTCAGGAGGAAGTGGGCCTGGGGCCCTCGCTGGGAAGGGGCTCAGACTGCAGCCCCACCTGTGGGTGAGGGACACCTAACAGCTATTACAGGACCCTGCTCCCTCTTCTCCACCTGACACTGCCTGTGCAGGCCAGCAAGGCTGGTGGGGTGGGGCCCTCTGTATGTCAAGCTTTTCCTAGGAGGCACCACCCAGCCCCAGTACCTCCAGGCATGTGGACCCTGTGGGAGCTGTTGCTGTCGTGGCTCAGAAAGGCAGTCACTTGCATAGCCACAGTCACCTGGGGTTGGCCATCCTGGAACACAGGCCAGGGTCAAGGCCATGCAGTGGAAGCCTAGGGGGATCAAGGGCCTCTGGACCAGGAGACCGGAAGAAAGCAGTGTCAAGGGGGAGTGGCTCAGGCCCCTAGGGCCTCCTTACTCTCACTCCTGCAATTTTCATCAAGATCTAAAATCCCTTATACAGTGGGGCTCAGCATACTCAATAAAGGTATGCAACCCTCATCTCTGGAATTCCAGAACATTCATCACCCTAAAGGAAGCCCCATCCGTCCCCATGATCAGTCACCCCAGCCCCACGCCACTTCCTGTCTCTGGAGTCGCCTGTCCTGGGCGTTTCCTGTCCATGGAGCCCACGCTGTGTGTCCTGTATCTTGTCACTCACTGAGCATGGTGTCAAGGTCCGTCCATGCTATGGTGAGTGTCACAGCCTTGCTCAGTGACATTCTGGCATGGGGACGACTGCTGTGTGTGTCCTCCACATGGGGATGGATTTGCTTCCATGCCCGGGCTGCTGTGGCCATCTGTGTATGAGCCTCAGTGTGCACACTCGTGTTTTGCCTCCTTTGGCCCTGTGCCTAGCAGTAGAACTGCTGAGTCACTGCAGGCTCAGGGTTTTTTCCTGCAGTGCTAGGTCCGGAGCCCTAGCCTTCACGTGAGGTGAGCGCTTGCCACTGAGCCCCCAGCCCGTGTTGAACTCTGATCTGCATCCATGGTTGGTCCCACCTTGCACCCTGGCTGTGACCTTTCTGATCTCAGCACCCTGTGGGTATCCAGTGGCATCTCCTATAGCTGTCACCTGCACTTCCTTTCTGCCAATGGTGATCACCAATGTGTGTGCTGGTTGGCTATTTGTTCACCCAGGCAAACAGGGACAACCTTGGAATTGGGGGGGGGGGTTCTGAATCCCTTGTCAGGCCCAAGCCACCTCATCCAGCCCTCACCCCACCCCACCCACCCCCTAGCAGAGACACTAGACCCAGAGGGTAACAGGACCCTCACAAAGCACCAGCTGAGTGGAACCCTGGATAGGGGTCTCTCACCCTTTTCCCTGAACCCTTCCGTGCTGTGGAAGCCACGCAAAACATGTTAAGGTAAGAAGGTCACAGAAGACATCTGTAATCCCTGCATTCAGGAGGATGAGGCAGGAGGATCGCTGCCAAGTTCCAGACCAGCCTGAACTACAAAGCAAGACTGTCTCAAAAAAACCCAGAACAGATGCCTTGGTGGCTTTATGTTGACCTTTTTTATTTGCATTTTTAAAAAACAATTAAATTAGAATACAAATATTAGAAAAGAACGGCCCTCGCTGCTCATGCAGGCGGGTGGCCGGCTGCAGCGGAGTTCATACAGTTAAGACTGAATGTGCCCTCGTCCAGACCGCAGTCCCCTCCTCTAGACCTGAAATGATATTGCTTCCTGATTAGGACAGTTCTGCTCAGACAGGGAACCAGGGGGCGGGCGGGGCGGGAGAAGTACAACAGAAGGGCTGGGCTGAGCTGAGGGGTCTGAGGACCTCTGCCTGCCCTCACCGTCTCCTGGGGCACCCCTGAGGCCCAGGACCTGGGAGAGCTGGCAGGGCCCCAGAGCCCCCGGCCTGGCTGGGTCTGTGCCAGGAACAGGGCGGGTAGGCTGGAGGGTGGCCCCCGCCAGTCCTGCTGGAAGTTCGAGGCTCGGGGTGGGGAGGGGGAGGCGCCAGGAGAAGCCTCGTACCCGTGGAAAAAAACCCAAGAGCGAGAAGAAGGGAGGGGAATCACCCCAAATCCTGCGGGCCCTGGGGACCCCGATGGCGGGGGCCGGCGTGGACATCGGTGCTGTTCCTAGGGAGTTAACCTGAATTGGAGTTACCGAGGTAGCTGGCTTAGGAAACGGAGACCCCCACACGCCACACAGTGCCGCACCTGGGGCCCCTGCCTCCCCCGGGGAGGTCCTGGCCGCCGCCGGGTCTTCAAAATACCAAGTTATTGCACTTTCAAAAAATACATGTCTGTGGCGAACCCCTCCCCGGCCCCTCCCCACCCCCCGCCACCCCCCCTCCTCCCCCCCCCGCCACCCCCCCAACCCACTCCATGGCTTCTTAGCTAAAATGCAGAGGAGCAAGGGAAACAGATGCCCACAGAGGCAGGGTGGTCTCTGGGGAGCTGGCCCCAGCCCCACCTGGGTCCCTCGACATCAGCTGGAATGGTCGTGGGGAGGGGATGGTGGTGGCTTCCCAGGTCCTGCCTGCCGCCCCTCCCTGGGTTCAGCTGTCTCGGGGGACCTGGGCTCTGGCTGGGGTGCGGCTGCGGTGTGGGTGGCTTGCCTTGTTTTAAAAGTTTAAATCTTGTTTTTTTGTCTGTTTCATTTTTCTTTTTCCTTTTTTTTTTTTTTTTTGTCATTTTACTGTTTTTTAATCCCCCGGAGAGGAGAGTCCAGAGGTCCAGAGGCAGGAGCCAGGGACAGGGGTGTGGAAACAAACGGAACAATGAGAAGAAAAGCCAAGTCCCTCCCCCCGGCACCAGGCCAACCGCCCTCCGCACGGAGCACCAGGAAAGTCGTGTCTGGGGGCGGTGGCCGCAGCCAGGTCAGCAGGCCGGCACCAGGCCCTTGGGCAAGGGGCAGCGGCGCTTGGGCCGGGGGCCTTCTTCGTCCTCCTCCTCCTCTTCCTCATCCTCCTCTTCCTCCTCCTCTGACGATGATGAGCTGTCCAGCGTGAGGTCCACCACGTCGGCACCCAGCTTCCCATTCTCCATGCTGCCCACCAGGCCCACCCCAACACCTGTGCTGCCCAGCGCCATGCCACCACTGCCGTTGACGTTGGGGGTGGGCACCAGCCCATTGGTGTCTGAGGTGCCTGTGGGCAACAGGGAAAGGGACACAGGTGTTCAAGACGCTGCCGACTCAGAGCAAACAAGTCTGGCTTTGTGGCACGTGGAGATTAGCACTACCCAACAGTGGCTTTGCATAGAAACACCCAACAAAGGTGTGTGGCAGCATGCGCCTGACATCCCAGCATTCTAGGAGGGCGAAGCAAGAGGATCCCAAGTTCAAGCCCAGCCTGGGCAACTTAAAGAGACTTAAAAAGGGCAGGGTATAGCTCAATGCAAAGGCCCTGGGTTCAATCTGCAGCACTGAAAAAAGCAAGAAACTGCCCAACAGCAGGACCTGGGCTGATGGGTCCCTGGGTGCCACAGGACTCACCAAGCACCAGGATGGGGCCCTGGGGGCTGCAGCTCCGCTCTTTCTCAGCACGGATGGGGCACCACGACCCATCAGCCAGGAACTCGATCTCATCGGCGTCCTCGCACTCACTCAGGATCTTGGACAGGAGCCTGGGGCGAGGCAGGCAGGTGGCTGACAGGGCTGCGCCCTCACCCCGATCCTGAACCCCACACATCACTGCTCACCATTCTGCTCCTCAGGGCACCCCTCCTGCCCCAGGACCCCCTACTTGGCACATCCTGTTTGCAGATGGGGAAAGAGGCCCTGGACTGGGAGGCACAGTCCCGAGGTCACAAGGCTGGCCCACCCAGCTCCAGGACCACATCCTACATCCCATCCCACAGAGAAGGGTTTCCTGAGGGTGGGGTTGGGGGATATCCCGGGGGGATTTGGGCAATCACCCAGCTCGGGCAGTGTGGCAAGGTGGTGGAGCCCGTGCAGCAATGTCTGAGCCAGGGACCTTCCTCCAGGGAGCCTCCGGGGCCATACCTGGGCCCTGGGTAGCCAGGGCCAGAGAAGGCTGCAGCCACCTGGCCTGGATCAGGCAGCCTGGAGCTGTCCGAGCTGCTCCTGGCTGGGGGGAAGGCAGCTTGGGGCGCAGCTGCCAGGCTGGGAACAGAGCACCCATTCAGGCCCAGCCCACGTGCCCAGTCCTGGGGGGGCCTCACTCCTGCCCATGCCCAACCGTGGGAGCAGTGGCTGGGGCCCTTCAGGGAGGACCTGGGCTCAGCACCGCCCAGCCCTGGGTTCAAGTCATCAGGCTGTGCTAAGCCTCAGTTTCTTCATCAGTAAGGTGGGGAAGCTGAGGGTGCAACTCAGTAGTGAGCACTTGCCTAGCACTGCAGGTGAAAAGAAGGCAGGAGGACTCAGGGCCCGATCCTGTGACATGGACAAGCAGAAGGAGGAGTCCACTGGGGGAACAAAGCACATCCCACAGTGAGCTTGGCCCTGGGGTCTGGGTTCGAAGGCCTTCTGCCTGCCCCGTCACAGGTGTGTGGCGCCACAAGAAAGCTGAGAAGGCAGCCCTGCACTAGGCCTAGCAGTAGCTCTGGGGACAGGATGGGGTGTGACCAGCGCCTGGCAGGAGCCTCCTCAGTTGATGCAGACTACGGGGCTCAGTTTCCTGAAACCTAACACCACGGCAGTTACCTTTTTGGGGAACAAGGACCCACCGCAACCTCTGCAGCAGGGGAGGCCTCACAAGTTGGCCACAGGCCGGAGCCACTCAGAATGGAACCCACAAGTGGGCCAGGCACCTGTCTCTCCACCTTTCTCTGCAGAAGAGCAGAGTGGCATGGAAGGGGAGTTCTTGGGTCCCATCCTATTCGAGAATGACCTGAGTCTGCAAGCTGTACGTCACAGAGGCACCGGGATGGTCTGAGGTCCTAGCTGCATGGCTGATATGGCCAGCATGGCAAAGGCTCTGATGAGTCCCCCAGGGAGGAACAGGCCTTTGTGCCGAGTACTGTTAACGCCGTATGGCCATGGGTCCACACATGGACAAGGGCCTGGAGAACAGGGGCTCAGCCCAGGTGGTGCAGCCTGAGACTCACCCGTCAATGATGAGCTGGTCGTAGGGGGCCGGTTTGTCACACACCGGGCACATCCAGGTAGGCTTCTTCTCGTTCATCTGCAGGTAGAACACAGCATCGAAGCACTGCAGGTGTGCGCAGGTCTCCGCACGGCAGGGCACCGAGAGCCGCATCTTCACCAGCTGTGGGCACAAGGAGTGGAATGAGCCCAGGGCACCGCATCCAGCCCTGTTCCCACTCCATCCTGTTGCATTACTGTCTTCATTTACTGCCATGGGACATCAAGGGGACAAACCCAAGGTCAGCCCTGCCCTGTGGTGCTCCCGTGATGGTAGGAAGAGCCACCCTTCATGACTTGGTGGAGGGACAGGAGGGGGACATGTCACACACCCACTCACCGGGCAGATGAGAGAGACCCGCACACCAGTGGTGGCAATCTCGCTGTCAGGATCCAGACGCAGCTTCTCCTTGACTGTGGCAAGGGGACAGGGTGGCGTCAGAGGGAAAGGGACTGGGTGGTCAAGCCTTGGAGTCAGCCATGTAGTCCACAGGGCACCCCACACCCTCCAGAACAGGAGCTTCCCTGACACAAAGGCCTGGAATCAAGCTGCACAACTCAGGGCCAGAGGTGCCCCGGAAGCAGGCAGCCCACATGGGCTTCTTCACCCTGCCAGGCTTCTGCTGCCCACAGGATTCTTCCAGAGAGATCAGGCACCACGAAGTCACCCACAGAACCCTGTGTGACCCTGCTGCTTCTGCCACCGAAGCACTTTCTCAAAGACCCAGTGGGGCTAAAGCTTGGCTGTCCTGTCTGAAACAGGCCCCATGGCCTCTCTACTGCCAAAGCCGGGCTCTACAGCCTCCTCAGACACAGATCTGCACCCTGACAGGGGGATGTGGCGTTTGCTACACGCCACCTGGGTTTGGGGCTGCTCATGAAGGCATCTGAAGGCCCTGCGCAAGACGGCCCCCCACAGGAAGAGACCTCGGCCTGAGCATTTGAGGGCAGCCTGGATGGTGGCACACTGGAAGGCCACCCCACCTGCTGTGGGCCAGGATGGGTCCCTCTGGGGTTTCTTTTTTATTTGGTACTGGGGATCGAACTCAGGACCTTGCACTTGCGAGGCAGGCGGCAGCACCACTGAGCTAAATCCCCAGCCCTTAGTTTTTTGCTTTTTGGTACAGGGTCTTGATATGTAATTCAGGTTGGCCTTGAATTTGTAGTGATCCTCCTGCCTCAGCTTCCCAGAGCTCTGAGATTACAGGGGAGTGCCCCCAGGCCCAGCAGCTTCTGGCTTTTTCAAATACTCTACACACAAGAACAAAACCAGCCAGATCCTTTACTCTTCTACCTCCCACCACCACCCTATCCACCCTCCCTCACTCCACCAGATCCCACCGGCAGAAGCTCCCGGTCACACCTAGCAAAGGTACAGGCCGGTGCCCTTGGCGGCATCTACCCCAGCCTCATGCTCACCTAGCGCTTTGCACAGCTCCGGGTGCTTCACACCGATGGTTTCCAGCCTCTGCAACAGCTCAGCGGAGGTCAGCTGTCTCACCAGGTACAGCGCTGCTGAGTAGCTCTGTGGGGGAGTGGGGCGTCAGGAGGGGCGGGGTGCAGGGTTGGGGGCGGGACATCCAAGGTGGGCCGAGCAGGCGCACTCACCTTGCCATAGTTCCCCCAGGTGACGGTGATTCGGTTAGTGGCCGAGGACAGGTACATGAGGTGGGTGAGGTTGATGGGGCGGCAGGGCCTCTTGGGCTCCACTCCGGGCTTGTTGGAAGGGTAGTAGCCCTGCAGGCGACCAGCGGATCAAGCTGCTGCCCCAGCGAGGGTTCCAGCCCCGCCCCTCACAGCGCCCCACCCCCGCCGATGCCCCCGAGGGCTCCTGGCCTCCTCACCGGGACTGAGCAGTAGCTGTGGTTGACCTTGACGGCGATGTTGGGCGGGTACTGGTCCTCCTGAGGACAGCTGGTGTCTGAGTAACAGATTCTGCAATGACAACGGGGACCATAGGGCTGGAGCAGGGGTGGGGTCAGGACAAGGGGCTGGGCAGTACATGGGGCCCAGGGTTTGTGTCCCACACAGCAGAGAGCAGGAGAGGCAGCTGCAGTGTGTAGGGCAGGGGACAGGGAAGGACTGTGTCACCAGCACAGAGTGGCAAGGGTGTGCCCTGGGGCGCAGGCACACCTGGGCCTACCTTAGCACAACCTGCACGGCCTTGACTCCCGGCTGCAGCTCTCTGTGGGGGAAGAACAGAGGTCAGGGAGGCAGGCACTCTGCACAGCGACCATCAGCTGGGGCAGTCAGGGAGCCCCACCGACCCCACACCCCAGCCCCAGGCTTCTAGGAAGGTGCCAGGCATTCGGGCCCACACACAGGAGGGGCACTGTCTGCCCCACGTGCGGAAGGGGAGCAGCTGTGTGTGTGTGGGTGGGGTGGGGGGGATTGCTCACACCTGGAGTTCCGGATCAGCTCCACCTGCCTGGGCGTCAGCGCGAAGATACAGGGACTCTCCTGCAGCTTCTCATTATTCTGTGGGACTGAAGGTGGACAGGGTCAGGGCTGCACTGCTTCCTGGCCAGCCCTTCCTTGGACTGACAGGAAGTGGAGGGAGACAGGGCCCCCCAGGGTGACCTCTCCTCTGGGGCCACTCTCCATGACCTGTGATTCTGAGGAACACATTCTGCCTGCTACCACCGAGGGCCCTCATGGAGCACAGGTGCACAGAAAGGGGGAAGAGACGTTTGCACTCCCTCTCCCTCGGGTGGCAAAGGTCCTGGGCCTGGCTCTCCCTCTACCAGCCACTTCAGCTGCCTTGGGCACTCAGGCCAGTGGAGGGGAGGAGGACTGTGTGTCCAGGGCCTCAGAAGCAAAAGGGAGAGGCTGCCCCAAATTCCACACAGGGTCTCGCTCATATCACAAAGCCCTACTGGGTGCAGAGATCACAAGGAGCCTACTGGAAGCTGAGGTTTGCAGAGACTTTTTGGAGGGAAGGGAACACAATCATTACCTGCCTGGGTCCTTCCCACCCCATTACAACTGATGCTGTAACCAAGGGCAAGATGGAGATGCTCTGAAGACAACAGGAAACACAATTTCCCAATGCTTGTGTGATTGGGCCAGAGGGCAAATTATATTGCACTTCCAATGCTTAGAGTAAAAAAGGAAAAGCTAAGCATGGGGGTGCATGCCTGTAATCTCAGCACTTGGGAGGCTGAAGCAGGATCCCATCGAGTTCAAGGCCAGCCTGGGCTACGTAGTGAGTTCAAGGCCAACTCACGATAAATACATAGCGAGGGGCCAGGGATTTAGCTCAGTGGTTCCGCTGCCTGCCTTGCAAGCGCAAGGACCAGAGTTCGATTCTCGGTACCAAAAAAACCCCCAATAATACATAATAAGATCTTATATAAAATAGTAAGTAAATAAAAAATTTTCAGATGAATGGTTTAGGGTTCCTCCCTTAGAAGCTGGAAAAAGAAATGCAAATTAAAGGCAAAGTCACAGAAGGAAGGAAATAATAGAGTTAAAAATGTAAACCAAACAATGACAAAAATAAACAAAACCAAAGCTCTTTGAAAAACATGTAGCTGGACTGAACAACAGAAACAATGGCATGGACACAAACTGTTTCTGGAATTTTTTTTTTTTTTTGGTACTGGGGAATGAACTCAGGACCTTGCGCTTGCGAGGCAGGCATTGGAACCACTGAGCTAAATCCCGGGCCCAACACAAACTGTTTCTAAAAGGAACAGAATGGGGACCACCGCACAGACGCTACAGTGATTCAGTTCAATGTAGAATGTGAGGGAGACCTCAGTATTAACAATCTGACAGCATAGTGAAAAGGACCAATTTTTCCAAACATGCAACCGCCCAGACAGGCACCGAAAGACACCAAAAGCTGGAGAAGCTCTTAACCCATTAAGGAAAGTCAACTCAGAATTAGAACCTCTCCACAAAGAAACCCACAGGTCCAGATCGGTGAATTCTAGCAAACAGGGAACACATCATACAAGTTTTACCTAAACTCTTTCAGAAAACACAAGGAGAGAACTCCTGCCAATCCATTTTATGAAGCAAGCATGACTGATGCTGAAACCTGAAGAGATGCATCAGGAAAAAAAATGTGACCAGGCGAGGTGGCACACGCCTGTCATGCCAGCACTCTGGGAGGCTGTGGCAGGAGGATCACAAGTTCTAGGCCAACCTGGGCAACTTAGTGAGACCCTGCATCAAAATGAAAAAGGGCTAGGGCTGGGGATTTAGCTCAGTGATGCCATGCCTTCCTTGCAAGTACAAAGTCCTAAGTTCGATCCCCAGGAATGAAAGGGGGGGCCTGGGGATGGAGCTCAGTGCAAAAAAAAATTTAAAAATGGAAGCAAATGCCTGGCATGGTGGCACATGTCTATAATCCCAGCACTCTCAAGACTAAAGCAGGAGGATCATCTAGAGTTTGACTTCAGCCTGGGCTACATAGTGAGTTCAAGGCCAGCCTGATCTATACAGCAAGATCCTGTCTCAAACAAAATAAAAACAAACAAACAAAAAAAGAGAACAAATATCCCAGATCCCTGAGACTTGTCCCAGGAATACAAGTTTGTTTTTATTTCGACTTTGTTTTGATATTGGGTATTGAACCCAGATTATGCTGGGGAACATGCCCAACCCTTTGCTGGCCCTGAACTCCCTATGCAGCCCAGGCTAGCCTCAAACTCACTGCGATCCTCTTGCCTCAGCCTCCCGAGTGCTGGGATTACAGGAGTGTGCCGCCAGGCCCAGCTCACCCTCTATTTTTTTAAATTTTGAAACAGTTTTATTAAATTGCCAAAACTGGGCCAGGGATTTAGCCCAGTGGTTCTGCCATCTGCCTCGCAAGCACAAGGTCCAAGTTCGATCCCCGGTTCCAAAAAAAAATTTTTTTTTAAATTGCCAAGACTGGCCTAGAACTTAAGGTCCTCTGCCTCAGCCTCCCAGGTACTTGAGGTGACAGGACTCCACTACTGTGCTGGCTCAAGGTTGATATAGAAACCTCTAAGTGGCCACTAGAATGGCTAAAACTAAAAAAGTAACAACTTCAAGTGTTGGTGAGGTTACAGAGCAACTGGCAGCTCCTGCTGGTGAGGCTTATGAATGGTGTAACCACTCTGGAAAATGGCCTTGTAAAGCCCAATGGATACCTCCCCTTAGGCTGCCAATTCCATCGCTAGGTGTAAATTCCTTAAATAAATGGGAATATCAGTACACAAAGCCTGTACAGCTAAGCATGTGGCACACGCCTGTAATCCCCAGCCTTCAAATGGGAGAACAAGTGTGCTAGAGTCACAATACAGATAGAACCTAAAAACATCATGCCGAGCTGCACGAGGTGGCACACACCTGTCTCCCCAGCTACTCAGGAGGCTGAGGCAAGAGAATCCCAGTTTCAAGGCCACCCTGTGAAACTTAGGGAGACTAAGTCTCAAAGTTTAAAAAGTAGTGGGGGGCCAGGAATTTAGCTCAGTGGTTCTGCCACCTGCCTCTCAAGCGCAAGGTCCCGAGTGTGATCCCCAGTACCAGAAAAAAAAAAAAAGGAGTGGGGTGTGCCTCAGTGGCGAGGACTTGCTGAGCAAAGGCTCTGGGCTCCATTGTCAGCACTGAAAAGAAAAGCAAAAACCCAACCCTGTTAGGGAGCTAAAAGCAGTGGGTCTACAGGGATTCCAGTTAGGTGGAAAACACAAGTGGCGTGCTACACGGCGTGAACAAGGAAGGGGTGTGTGTGCACATGCACAAGTCAATCCACACCTGCTTGTACCAGTGTCCTGCATCCTGGGCACCAGTGGAGACTGATCCCAGGACCCCTCAGGTACCAAAACTTGCAGGTGCCCATGTTCTCGCCATCAAAGGGGACTGCGCACACAGTTCCTCCCCAGCTCTTAAGCCACCTATTCCCAGGTAAAGTCTGCTACCTGTGCCGTGTCCACGCACAGCGACAGGAAGGAGTCAGACTCGATTCTGGGGAGAAATACTTCAACCCCAGCTGGTTGACTCCTTGGCTGCAGAACCCTGGACACCGAAGGCAACACAGTGGGCAGAAGGGCACAGGGGCACACAGTAACTGCTTCTGTGGGGTCAGCAGAGATGGAGGCTCGACGTGCACCACAAACCCTTCCAAACTGGAATGGAAAGGCTCCCATAAACGGCCTGGGTAAACACCACCTCTTCAGGCATCGCATCTGCGGTGACTGGTGACTGCCCTGTGGAGCCACCACACAGGTAGAGCACCCAAGAAGGCGAGCAGCACTGATGATGCTTGGTTTACAAAAATGGGCTGGGGCCGGGGATATAGCTCAGTGGCACCACGCCTGCCTTGAAAGCACAAGGTCCTGAGTTCAATATCCCCATACAAAAAAAAAAAAAAAAGAATGGGTGGTGAAGGCTGAGGTGGGCCTGGTGGTATATATACCTGTAATCTCAGCACTCTAGGAGGCTGAGGCAGGAGGATCACACTGTTAAGCCCTGCCTGGATAACAGCAATATAGCAAGATCTTGTCTCAAAATATAATAAAGAGCTAAAGGTAAAGGTCAGGGCAAAGGCTCTGGGTTTAAGCCCCAGTACTGAAAAATAATTTAAAAAGAATAAAAGCAGCTAGGGTTGCCTGGATTTAGATCCTAGCCCAAGGGCCTCTAGGCTGGGCCTGCCCCTCGGATGCCCAAAGGCTTGGTTCTAGAAGGTCCACTACCAGGTCTACCGCTTGGCCCAGAAAGAGGTGACTTCAGTGACAGCCACCCCACAGTATCTACTTCCCACTTGTTTGTCAGGAGCCTGGCTGGTCCCTGGTGCCAACAGGCTGCAGGGTCCCAGGGGCACCCAGGAGGGCCGGCTAATTGGGCAGCAGGGCCCACACAGGCCACCTGCAGGCACGCCCAGATCTGCCCACAGCACCTAGGGAGCAATTATTCTGGGGCAGGGAGGAGGGGTGGCTGCCCAGGAGCTGACATCTGAGCTGGGTGTGGAGACTGGGAAGGAGGTCAAAGTGCCACTCTACATGGGTGCAGTGGGGCACCCATCATGCCAGGTCCTAGGGAGGCTGAGACAGAAGAATGGTGAGTTCAAGGCTAGCCTGGGCAACTTACTGAAACCCTACCTTCAAATCTCAAACCAGAAGTGCCACTCGGTGGTGAGCACTGGCTTAGCATGCTCCAGAGCTTGGGTTCCAGCTCCAGCACCCTCAAAAAAACTCACCCTACCTCACCAGCAGGGTCTCCTGGCAGACAAAGGTGGAAGGGAGGTACCGAGTAAGTGGCAGGAAGTCACCCAGCAGGCCCCAGAGCTTAAATGCAGTGAGGAAGCCCCAGAGCCCAGTCATGGAGTACCAAGGACCGGTCCTTTCCCGACAGGCTCCTTCCTGAAGGGAAGGTGCGAGGATACTGGGACATGTGCTGGGCCTGTCGCCCCATTCTGATGGCTCCCCCAGGAGCCACTGGGGCCCAGCTGCAACGTGGACACTCTGCGCCATCGGGAGGGGCTGTGGGGTCTCCCCAACTCTGCCTCCAACATGGT